GGTTGGTGTAGCTTGTCTTAGTAAGGGGAGTGAAAAAAAGCTGTGCTTCCCTGGGGAAGCTGTCTCAGAGATGTTCAGTTCCCTCCTCATCCCAATCTGGGTGTTCTTCCTCTTATTGTAACAGAGCTTGGTTCTTGCTCCACAGCACAAGCACCAGCTCTTGAAGCCAGTCACTGTCCCTTGGTTTCTACCTCCAGAGCTCCTCTCTGGGTCATTTTCTCTCCAATACCTCCTCAGATACCTAGGACAGAGCGGCAGGAAGGTCCTTTTGGTGTTCTTTAGGGCAGCCCAGGCAGCTGAGCTCCTTTCCTTGCCAGCTGCAGCTCTCAGGCAGGCGATGGTGGGAGGGTTTTCATTCTCGTCAAAATAATGAATCATTCTCCGAACTCGGAGGCGTCAGAATGCAGCTGAGCATTCTCTGCTTTGTCCTGTGTCTGCTGATCTGGGATTCATAGTCAGAGCCCTTGTGTGGCCTGACCCCAGGCACGGGTGGGTGAGGGAAATGTGTCGCCCCCTGAACTGGTGAGGTGGGGCCAGGAGTTCAGCGATACTTGGGGAACTCCTGCACAAGCTCCTTCAGCAAAACTGTATCTGGAGTAAGCAAAAAAAAAGCTTCATTTCGATTCCTCCAGTTTCCTTCCATTAGCGGAAACATGTTCTGGCTTTATGGCAGTGGGAGAATGTGGCTCTTCCTAATCCTCAGAGCCCTGGACCTGCTTAAGGAATTACAACTCCGAGTAATATACTGATTTTCCTCCTACTCTTCAGCTGAGGTTTGACCCTCTTTGGCTCAGCCAGCCTGGGAATGTGCTCCCAGCTTAATTTAAGGGAAATCCGGCTAGGGCAGGGCTCCGAGGCCACATCCCTGGGGTCAGGGTCTCTCATATCTCACTGCCATCCTTGTGTCCGTGCTACTCTGCTCTGTGTGTGTGTGTTTGCAGTGAACAGCATCACCTTGGCAGTGAATCTCGTGGGCTGCCTCGCGTGGCTCATTGGAGGCGGCGGAGCTGTAAATTTTGGACTGGCAATTCTCTGGCTCATTCTCTTTACGCCCTGCTCCTATGTCTGCTGGTTTAGACCTATTTACAAAGCTTTCAAGTAAGTGGTCGCACCTGAGCCTGGCTTCTTTTTGCCTTGTTTTCCTTCCTAAACCATCACTGTTTAGCCTGGGGCGTTGCCTAAATTACTAGGGGAATTTCTTTTTGTCCAGCCTTTTTAGATTTACTTTCTAACCTTCAAAACAAGGGTGTTTGGGATTTCCCGAGGGCCAAACCCCCAACCATGTGATGTAAGAGCACCCTCCATGTGCCTCTGTGCAGCAGCGGGAGAGACTGGTGAGGATGCAGTTGGGGTGCAACTCTCCCTCTCTCTCATCCTTGAGGCTTCTTTTGTATTTTTCCACAAGTCCTCAAGGTGTTTATATGGGTTATCTCTGCTGCTGAGGTTGATTCCCAAATCTAGAAGTCTGGGGATGTATTTATTCCCCATGTGGGGTGGTGTAAGCCAAGAGCTGTGTCCCAGCATGGATGTCATCAAGCTCAATGTGCAGAGTTGGCCGAGCCATGGAGAGGGTCTGGTGCCCCCGTGGGCTTTTCCCAGGTGCCCCTTCACCACCTTCAGCCTCTTGCAGTTTTTCCTTTGCCTTTAATTTTGCTTCTCACCACCCTCCTGCTAAATCACAGCCGGGTCTGAGACATAGGAGCATCTCCTCGAAGCACAGCAGGGATGGAGGTGCAGGGAGTGACCGAGCCCTCTCTTGCAGGACAGACAGCTCCTTCAGCTTCATGGCCTTCTTCTTCACTTTCATGGCCCAGCTGGTGATCAGCATTATCCAGGCGGTGGGAATCCCTGGATGGGGGGTCTGGTAAGGAAAATGCTTCTGTGTTGGGTGCAAGGGTGGTCACCATGGTGTTTTAACATCCCCAGTGCTTGATGTTTTAACGTATTCAGCGCTTCTTGCCTTGGGGAGGATGGTCTGAGGAGCTGGGAAGGATGCTGACAATTTGGGAAAGCTGGTTGTTCTCATCTCCTTGCAGCGGCTGGATTGCAGCGATTTCCTTCTTTGGGACCAACGTGGGGTCAGCCGTGGTGATGCTGATCCCCACCGTGCTCTTCACGGCCATGGCAGTCTTCTCCTTCATCGCTCTCACCATGGTATGGCAGGAGAAATGGGTGTGACACGTTGCTCTGGGGGGGCCCTCGCTGCTCCCCCCGGGAGCTCAGCGCCAGCTGCAGGCACTCAACCCCTCTGGATTTTCCCTCCAGGTGCACAAGTTTTATCGGGGGAGCGGCGGCAGCTTCAGCAAAGCGCAGGAGGAGTGGACCACGGGGGCGTGGAAGAACCCCCACGTGCAGCAGGCGGCCCAGAACGCGGCCATGGGGGCGGCACAGGGCGCGATGATGCAGCACGAGACGCAGTACTCAGCCACCCCCAACTACACCTACTCCAACGAGATGTGAGCAGCAGGACTCTGTCCTCAGGAGGAAGAGCTGGGGCGGGGGGGGGAAGAGAGGAGGAAGAAGGCTGAGCGAGTTTCTGCAGCTGTTTCAGAAAGTTGGAGTGTACCATAGCGGTGGTTCTTTTCCCGTCTTCGTAACGAGATCCTTTGGGATTTTTTTCTTTCCTTTTTTTTTTTTTTTTTCCCTTGTTTTGAGCTCTTATTTTCTCCTTTCTTTTTCATTCTGAAGAGGCTGTGAGTTGACCTGCAGGGCTCTTGTTGTGCGTGGTAGTCAGTGTCTGTTCACGTCTTTTTTTTTCTCTGTGGAATAGTGTACAGTGGTGGTTTTTTAATTACTGTGGTGATAGGTGTAAATTAGAACCTCATCAGCCAAAAGCCCCCCCCACACCCCCAAAAAGGGAAAAACAGCAACCAGCACCCATCTTCCCTCTTGGAATAAGCCCTGAACCACAGGTTTCTGACGTGTGAGTTATCTCTTTCAGTAGATAATGTCCAGCCACTTGCCGTTGTTTCAGCAAGGGCAAACAGTCCTGGGAATTCTCCTTTTTCTTTTTGCTTTTTAACTAGCAGGTGGCTGGTTGATTTAGCATTCAAAAAAAAAAAAAAAGGGGAGGGGGAATGAGAAACCCTCAATCCTGCTGTTGATATGCTGGAAGCCAAGAGATTCCTAATCTACACCCTGGCTCAGGATCTACAACTTCTCTCAGTGTGTGGTGTTGTAAGTGAGTAGTTTACACACTTTGACATGGAGGACCTGTGTGTGTATGTGTGTGTTTGTGTGTGTGAGTGTTGGGGAGCAAGGACAGGTTTTCCCTGCGGGATACAACTGTTCCATTCTGGATTCTGCATCCTGAGTCTGTTATTTTTAAAAGGCTTCTGTTTTGAAAAGCAGTTGTAAAAGCAGCAGAGCGTTCCTCAGAGGACCTACTCTTGGGCAAGGCTGCAGGTCAAATCTTGCCACCCCATATCCAAGCAGTCTCCCTGACGACAGAAATAGCCAGGCCAAGATTTGTCCCTCCTAGCTTTGGAGGCATATGCTAATTAAAGGCTCTTTAGGAAACCTCCAGGCTGGCAGGAAGGATTCCCACTTACTTGCGCTCCTAAAAAGCGTGGTGAGATATGGCCATGTGTTTTCTTGGTGCAGAAATCCCTGCCAGCCCTGAATCCTGCCCAGTTTGGGGATGATGGGCATTAAATAATGATCCTGCACCCTAGCAAGAGGCAGCTGAGCTCAGACTAACACCTCTTGGGGAGAGTGACTAGCACACCCTGGAAAAGACTGTGAGTGGGATCATAAATGGGATGGATGCTGCAGGGCAGGAGTCAGGAAAGCTACTTCTCAGAGATGCTTTTCAACTCTAAATGCACTTTAAATATGCCAATTTTTTTCCCAAGTCCTTGAAAAGCAGTCCAAACAGAATCCAATCCAGCCCCTTCCTTAGCTCCAGTATCTCCTGCCTTGCACAGGGAAGGAGCTTGGTGTGCCACCAGCTAGGGCTATGTGAGTCCCCAGCCCCTCACCCATCCCCTCCAGCCCCTCAGTGATGCTTGGATGTGACCCTTACCCCTGAGAATCACCCCAAAAAGGACCTTCTCTTCTCCAGCAAAGCACACCAAGACTAGTTTCCTTTTTAAGGTACCACTTCAGTCATTATGCAGTAGGCAGTCATCTCTTGACCAGACTAAAATGCAGCTATTGATAAAATGCCTGTCTGTGCGTGTGTGTGTGTATATATTTATGTATAAAATGTCAGGAGAAAAGTAATCCTTTGCTGAGCCTATTATGTTTAATCAGGTTTAAATATTGTGCAATCCATTTCTAGCTCGCCTAAAACTTACTCTGCCAAACCATGTGCTCTGTCATCCGTGTCTGAGAAATGATGGATTAAGTGACTTCACCTTTTGCATTGACAATAAGATGCATCAATAATAACTGTAACGAGCTGTAACTAACAGACATTGCTTCAGCACCTACCCCTCCTCTCCGGTGTGTCTCCTGAGTGTGTGAGCGCTGAAATGTGCCCCTGTGACACCAGCCGGGTTGGAAACTCTACCCTCTGTTCTCACCTTGATTATTTTTAAGATGTCCCTGCTTAAGGTGGGGCTGATGTGGTAGTGATCAAAGCGGGGTGCTCCTGAAGCCCACAGGGTGGGAGAAAGGGGGTGTTCCTGCAGCTGGGCAAGAGGAAGCTCTGGATAGATCACACCTGGGGGTTTCCTGATGTCTCCCTGTTGCTTCCTATGTCCTGCAGTCAGCAAAAGAGAGCTCTCTGCCTCTTGCCTTTCATGCTGCTTGCTTGTAGCTGATATTAGAGGGATGTCCAAATACAGCTTTAAAAGCAGCAGTTATCTGGAAAGGGTTGTGGACCACACACTGCCCCAGATCTGTTGTGCTTGCATAATCGTGGAACGGCTTGGGTTGGAAGGGACTCCAAAGATATCCAGCAGGGACACCTTCCACTAGTCCAGGTTGCTCCAAGCCTCATCCGACCTGGTCTTGGACACTTCCAGGGATGGAGCAGCCTCAGCTTCTCTGGCCAACCTCTGTCAGGGCCTCACCACCCTCACAGGGAAGAATTTCTTCCCAGTATCCCATCTAAACCTACTCTCTTTAATTTTGAAGGCATTCTCCCCTGTCCTGTCTGCACCTCAGGCAATAAGTGATTCTTTAACCCACGTTCCCCTGCCAGCTCCGTGTGGCTGCCCTCCATCCTTGTAGGAAAGGTTTCCCTCCTGGTCTGTAGCACTTCCATGGGCTCAGATATCACCTGGAGCTGCCACTTGAGGGGACCTCAGACCCTCTCCTCTCCTCAACACGCCTTTTATTCCCCCCCCCAGCAGCGAGTTTTGCTGCCCTCTGTTATTGCCAAAACCCTGCCACGAGCCAGAATCCCCCTTAAACAACTTCCTCAGCAGTCTGAAGCCACCCACGTGCCTGCCCTGGGCGAGATCCCTGCCGTGGGCGCAACTGCGGCACCGAGGGGCACAAAGCCCTCCCGGGGGGGGCAGCGGAGCCGCCGACCCTGGGGCTGCAGTGGGGCCGTGGGGGCAGGACGGGCAGCGTGAGGGGCGGTCCGGAGGCCGCCATGACACCCGCTCCGCCCGCCGCCAATCGGCGCCATTTCCCGGCGGCCCCCGCGCGGGCCGGGCCGCCCTCAGGCCGCGCTGCCGCCGCCGGTCGCGGCCTCTGCGGACGGAGCTCGGGGGTTGCCGCCCTGCCGTCGTTCCGGACCGCGCCCGTCCTGCCTTCGCCGGTATAGAAACGCTGTTTTGTTACGTTCTGGAAACCCGCAGGGGGTTTCTCGGCGCTGCTCTGTGCATGCCTTTTTGCAGCATTTTGGAGCTATTTCGAGCGTCACTACAGCATTAAAAAATCTGTTCAAATAACGCATGAGGCCTCTAAATTGCTTGTTTTCTAGTGGCTGTTTCCCCAGAGCTGTATTTGGGTAAGAGAAAAGCGCAACCCAGAACTTTAATATCATTATTATATATGTGTTGTGCATATTATATATTATTATTTTATTATTATATATTATTATATATTGTATATAATAATATATATTATATTTTGTATATAATAATATCTATTATATTTTGTATATAATATATATAATATATATTATTACAATATTATTTATATTATATTTTTATTACATTATGTTTTATATATTTCATGTATAATATATAATACAATTTAATATATATTATTATATATTATTATATTGTATATAATAATATCTATTATATTTTGTATATAATATATACAATATATATTATTACAATATTATTTATATTATATTTTTATTACATTATGTTTTATATATTTCATGTATAATATATAATACAATTTAATATATATTATTATATATTATTATATTGTATATAATAATATCTATTATATTTTGTATATAATATATATAATATATATTATTACAATATTATTTACATTATATTTTCATTACATTATGTTTTATATATTTCATGTATAATATATAATACAATTTAATATATATTATTATATATTACATAGTATATACGTTTTAATATTATATATAATACTATATAATATATTTATTATTTTATATATTATTTATTATATTGTAATTTATTATTTAATTATACATTATTACAATATTTATGTATTGTATATAATAATATATAATTTTATATATAATATTAAATATTATATATAATCATATTGTCTCTGTTATAATATACAGCTTTCATTATAATTTTTATCACTTCTACCCTTTTCCCGTTATTTTGCAATTGTTATTTTAACAGTATTTTATGATTTTATAATTTCTAGTATTTTATAGTTATTTTATGGGTTTTATAATTGTTTCATAATTTTTTTATAAGTTATAACGTGTTTTGAAAGGTGCCTAACTTCTTATTCTCCAGGCTTTAATTTGTGGATGCTTTGGAGAATTAATTGTCATTTAGGAATCATAAGGGAAATTTGGAAAGCATCCTAAGGATGTTTTAATTAGATAATAATTTTAATTATTTATAAATAAACAATACCTTTCTAATTTTAATTAGATATAGATGAATGTATGAAGCATGTAGTAGCATGAAAATCCCCCAGCCAATGTGCTTGCTACATTTCCTCACCTCTAATTACCCTTGCTAATCAGCATAGCTGAAACTGGGCTCTTATCCTGGTAATGCATTTTATAAACACGCTGAGAAACTTCTGGGGCTGGAGTTAAACATGTTAATTCTGAGCAGAGCATGGAAAAAGAAGGTGGTGGTGGTGGTGTGAGGGGGTTAGAAGGGGTGTTTGTCTGGGTGAGGGGCTCAGAATTCCACACAACTGCTGCACAACCACGAAGGATCCCAAGTTAACCTGCTCCTGGTAGTGACTGAAGGGTCAGTGGGATATTGGGAAGAAGTTCTTCCCTTTGATGCTCTGGCACAGGTTGGCCAGAGAAGCTGTGGCTGCCCCATCCCTGGAAGCACTCAAGGCCAGGTTGGACGGGGCTTGGAGCAACCTGGAAGGTGTCCCTTCTCATGGCAGGGGGTGGACTGAATCACCTCTAATTTCCAACCCAAACCCTTCGGTGATCCTATGAAATTCCTCTCTCTGGGGAATCCAGCCCCCTCACTCCAACATCCGAGTTGGTCCCAAAAATAAGGGCCGCCTAAACATCTTCTTCTTCATCTTTGTTCCACCCAAAGTGCTTCCAAGCAGCTTTGTCTTAATACTAACATCACTGAAACGGAACAAACTTCACTGAATATGATGGTTTTTCAAGAACTGAATTTACTCTTTGCTAATTACTTGTTAAATTGATGATATTTTGATATTGGAGATATTTGTATCAATTCTAATGATTTCCTCACCAGAACAGTCATTTGGGATTTTTACTGGTGTGGCAGCAGCACAGGGAAGCCAGGAGGAGGCGGGAGACCTGAATTAAAGCTGCTAGGGAATAATTTCTAGTGCTGCTCTAAGTATTTAGGAGTACAATAAGAAATAGGATGATTATGCTTTCCTTGAGACCTCAAATCTTTAAATATTAAGACATTTCCCTGAATTTTTTATCCACCAGGAGTACAAGGAGAAAGCAACTCAGCTAGGGGTTGTATGTCTTTGCAGCACTTGATGTGAAAGGTATTTATCCTAAATTCTGGACCATGTTCAATGTGTAAGAGCATATTTTCTTTGTTTTTAGGGCTGGGGTTAGCAGAGCACGTTTTTGGCCTCCTAGTACAGATTTTAGGGGTGTGTTAACAGTATCTGAGAGAAATTTGTAATTAAACATTAAGCTGGGTTTAAAGTTTTGCTGGTGCTTGATAGCTTTGTGGATTAGACTCTGTTTTGAACTACTCTGAGCCCTGCAGAGTCCAGGTTTGGATCTGTGCCCTCTGGAATATGTTGGGGTTGGAGCCCTGCTGTGCTTGGAGGCACTGTTAGTCTTTGTTTTTCTGTGCTTGCAGAGTTTGATTGGAGCATGGAGCCTGTCTCCCCACTGGAAGCAGGGATTCCCGCAGGAAAAAACTCACCCGTGCCACAGAAGAAATTCCGTGTCTTGGTGGGGGTGACTGGAAGTGTGGCTGCTCTGAAGCTGCCCCTGCTCGTCGTGGAATTGCTGAAAATCCCTGGGGTAAGTAAAAGCTGTTGGTGGAGCTTTGTAAAGTTGGAGTTACCCTGTTTTTGAGGAGAGATCACATGGCCTCTGCTGAAATGAAAAGTTCCTCCTTGGAGCCCTTCAGTTTAACAATTTTTTGGAGGAGAATTCTTCCAGCTTTTAAGAACTGATTTTTTTTTCCCCCTATCAATTAACACTTGAATAGGTCTTGGCTTTGGATGGTTTTTTTCCTGGAATTTGCCCTTATCAGTCAAATTGCCAGATGTGGCTGCAGACAGAGGTGATGGGTCTAGAACTTGAAATCTCCAGGATATTGCAGTTTTCCATCTGTGGGATATGGATTTTTGAAATATAAACGCTGCTGTCTGACCAAGAGAGGGGGAACCAGACCTTGTGAAACCAGAAATAGAAAATACACACTGCTATATGAGTCTATGCACTTTTTTTTTTTTTTTTACTCTTAATTATCTGGAGTAACAGAAGTGCCCAGCAGAGGCCACTGGTAACTGATCAGGGAGGGAAACATGCTTTTTTCTGCTGTAGAATAAAGTTAGAGGAAACTTTTAAGAAATGGAGCAGATATTTTGGAGCAGCAAAATGAAAAAGTGGCAGAAGCAAGAGGGAGCACTTAAATCGGAGATATACTGGGTTAGATTGCTTCATGAATATCCTTTAGAATGTTTGGGGAGGCTTTATCTTGTGAATGCATTGAGTAGAGGCACGAGAGGTGCTGATTTATCTGGTTTATGCTGGTATCCAAGCTGGAAAGAGTACTGGAGGGGAGGCATGGGTTGCAGAGAGAAGTCTCAGTTAATTTATTGCTTGATCCGAAGTGATTAGTGAAGTCAAAGGTCTGCACCTGAAGTAAGAAGAACAAAGAAAAGCCATACCAAGAAAGGGAGTGATCAGCACAGAGCCAGAGATATGGATCTTCTAATCCTCTCTCTCTTGGATTACCTTGGCTGTTGTCTCCTTTTCTTTTTTTCCTGGTGCTTGGAACATCCTTTTGTGAGGGTAACAGGCAGAATGCAAATGATCCACCGTAGGAATGTGAGTCAAACCCCTCCTTCTCTCTGAGTGTTTGATTGGTAATTAAAAGCTGCAGGCAGCTGGACCCAAACTCTCTGTGCAGACCCAGAGGACCGTGACATCTGGTACAGACTTTGTGGCCACTGGTTTTAGGTTTTAGTTGCATAAATAGCAAAAGTGAAACGTCCAGGAGTTTCTAACACTAAATTTATTAACAAAAATTATTTAGTTACTGATTTCTGCTGTGATTTCAAGGCCTGCTGAGTCAGTGTAACTTTTCCATTGAGTTTGTTGGATCCTACACAAGGCTGTTGCATCAGTTTCTTTACTGCTGGAGAAGAACTTTCCAAAGCCCTCTGTTGAGGTAGGGCAGGAGGCCAAGGAAGGCCTTTGTACCAAAGGAGGTGTGGTCAAAGGCTTGAAACTGGAGTAGTTAGTTTAAATTGATGTTTTGGCAGAAACGATCTGTGGTGAATGACTTGGCAGGGTGATCTTGCTGCTCATTAAACTTTAACATCTTCTCGAGGGTGACTACAGTGCAGTGCCTTTTTGTTTAACCTCTTTGGAGATCTGGGAAATCTCGATTGGGTGCAGATTATTGTCCTTGCACCTGGTGTGGTGGAGAGACAGCACAGGGTCTCATCATCTCACACACCTCATTCATAGAGTTTTTCAGTGGCAGGCACACCATGACAAAAATCATATTGGCGGGGTATTGGTTAGTAATAGGCTTTTGGGAGACCCTGGAGCCCCTTCCAGTCCCTAAAGGAGCTCCAGGAGAGGTGGAGAGGAACTTTGGACAAGGGCCTGGAGGGACAGAACAAGGAGGAGTGGCTTTAAGCTGAAACAGTTTATACTAACAAGTTTAGATTAGATATTAGGAACAAATTCTTCCCTGTGAGGGAGGTGAGGCCTTGGCACAGGTTATCCAGAGAAGCTGTGGATGCCCCATCCCTGGAAGTGTTCAAGGCCAAGTTGGACAGGGCTTGGAGCAACCTGGGGGATGGAACTGGATCACCTTCAAGGTCACGTCCAAACCAAACCATTCTGTGATCCTGTGATAAAGAAAGGCAAGGACAAACCTTTCTGTGGGTGAGATGTTTTGTCCTTGAAGCTACAGGATGTCAGCTGCACTTTAGGCTTAAATCACACCATGTCACTTCATTGTGCACGTGCCAGGCAGCCTCCACATTGGCTTGTAAGTGCCATTTAACAGGGGAGCTGCTCATTCGCTTGTGGTCAGGCTGTGTGTGAAGATTTTGCTGTCAAAACTGAGAAAGTTATTAAAAAATAATCACACACACCCTTAACCTGAGCAGAAAGGGCTGTGCCAGGAGAATCCTCTAACGGAGACCAGCAGTGTTGCTTTGAACACAGGAGAGCAATTTTGCAGTGAAGTTTTATTTTGGAGATTTGGCTTAAGTGGTCTAAGCCAAAGACCTCTAACTAATCTAAGCTGTCTCCACTGAGGGAATCTGAGTGTGGCTAGACTGCCTTTATTAAGATATCCATGGGCAAACAGAGGGTGTGCCAGGTAAATAGGAAAAAAAAAAACCAAACTATGTAGACTAAAGTGATCTTGAGAACACTGATCTCTTTGCAGCATAGCTGGAGAGACTTGAAGGACTTGCTGAGAACAAGGGAACCAGGAACCCACCCCAGCAGAAAACCTTCATTAGGGAGAATATTTAACTCATAGAGTGGTTTTCTTGGTGGAGTGGCAGAGTCGCCAGCACTCAGAGTCCTTGAACATCCCTCTGGTATGTTCTGGCTTGCAGTGGGTTGGATGCAGTGCTCAAAAGCCAGAGCTATTCTCTAGTCCTGGGCTTATGCTTGGAAGAGATAATTATTTTTTTTTTTTAATGGTACCATTTCAGAGACGAGAGATACCCCTTCAAACTGCACGGTGCTCTTTAAAAATCCCCAGGTAAATATTCTCTTGCAGCCTGAGGTTAACACCTCACCCAGGCCCGTGGCGCTGCAGAGAGAGCGGCGTTAGCACCTTTGTGGGTGCTGCTGCTTGGCTCAGGGCAGCTTCCTGTGGGGTGAGGTTAGCATGGAAATAAATACAGTTAGTTCATGGCTGTGAATATGATCTTCACGCTCAAAAACAGTACAAAACAGCTGTGATTCCAAATCAGGGTCACTCGGAAAAGAACAGACATTTAGAAGAGGCAAAGAAGCAAATACGTAATACCAAAAACTGGTGTCACGTGCAGCTATATTTTCCCTTGACTTTCCCTTCAGGAAATGGGGGAAATTACCAAAGACCACAATATATGCTAAGGCTGGGATTTTGCTCTGCTCCCAGCTGTTATTCTGCTCATATAGCCTGCAGGGAATCAACACTGCCCCATTCCCAGTAGAATAAATGGTGTTGGGAGCTGGGTTAATGTGGTTTGTCACGTCAGCCACTCCTGTTGCAGAGAACTTGGAGGTTTCCAGCAGTTGGTTTCAGCAAGGGTGCACACACCGGGTGCTTAATCAGTTTTCTACCTCAAGCCACAATTTTCCAAGAGGCAGAAGCTGCTGGTGAGTTTGGTTTCTCTCCATCTCACACCACACACTGGGTTCTGTGAGCTGCTGGAAGGAGCAGGCAGTAGCTGGAAGTGGATAATACCATGGAAAAGGGATATTTTTCACTGTAATCAGTGGCCTGAGGTGCATCTTCCACATTACAAGTTTTCAGAGTATTCTTTCCTTGTGGTGGCCTGCCTGTTGACTGGTTTAAGGAATATCCTTGGAAGGAATTGCAGATGAAAGTCCAGTTGCATGGGGGATCAGGCGTGCAGAGCCACTCAGACACTGCCTCTGATTTGGGGCTGGTCCTGGTGTGTGCAGGGCACCTACGGTTCACTGCTTGTGGCAGGAGCTATTGGCAGCATTTATCAGTGCTACAGGTCACAGGACAGGTAGAAAACAGGGGAAAAAACCTTTTTCCACCTGTTTTCTGCAGGAAATGAGAGGTTCACCTCATAAGCATGTGTTTCAGATCTGAGGGATAGGATAGGGTTTTCCCAGTATATAACAATAACTGAAGGTTCCCCTGGCTTTGCAGGTTTATCTGAGATTTCAGAGAGAACCTTCATATCCTTTCACCCAGTCTCTCTTTGTGGAAGGCACTGGTTTACTGCACAAAAATGCTGTGCTATGAACATACCTACACAGAGGCTTTCCTCTTCCCACCACCTTGCTTTGATAGGAAGGATAGCTGGAAGACACAACTCCCACTTGCTTCTGGTAAGATCAGCAAGTCTGATTAACACTGTTTTAAAATGTAGCATCCCACAGTCTCTAGCTTCTTCCCCACTTTTGGGGTCAGGAGGTCATGGAGCGAGAGAGGTGGGGCAGAAGGAGGCAGAGAGAGGTGCAGGACATGATCCATTCAACCAGGAAACCGTACTCTGTGTTCCAAAGCTGCTCTTTTCTGGGAAGCCTTGTGCAGCAGAGGTGGGTGCTGAGCCCCAGCATACCTCCGTGTCTCTCAGCACCTATGTTGATCACTCAGCTTTCTCTTGGCACAGAGCTTCCTCTTGGCTCCCAGTGTGGGAAGAGCAGTCCTGGCAGTGCCGTGTTGGCGTGCCACCTTGTCAGTTGTGGTTCAGGGAATCCACTGAGGCGAGATGCTCCCTTCCTCCCTTTGGCAGGCATGTCTGGGGATTAAAGGGCATCTTTCAGTTTCACAGGGCTCTGGTTTGCTGCTTCTTCCCTTTGAAGTTCTGTGCAGAACTGCACCTCATTGTCACCTGCACTGCCCTCTCTGCTGTCCTTGCTGTGAACATGTTTGGCAGGCGGGAACCTGTCCATTTTAGGTTGGCATGAAATGAGTCTCTGGCTCCTGTGGATGTCTGCGGTGGCTTGGCCTTTCAGCTTTGAATAGGCAAGGTCCTCTGAGAATCCACACAGCTTTCAAAATTGTCCTCAAATCTAACCATTGGTCTTGTTCTTTCTGCTTAGCTCGAGGTGAAGGTGGTCACTACTGAGAGAGCAAAGCACTTCTACAACGCTCAGGAGATTCCTGTCACCCTCTATGGCGATGAAGATGAATGGCAGGTGAGTTGTTCTTGCAAATAGAAGCACTCATCTAAGTTTCTTTGCAAGAAACCACACTTAGTTCTTGTTTAATCCTGGGCTAGGGCCCACTCCTTGGTCTAGTAATGTATGTTTGGAATATGGCTTTCGAAGACCGTGATGTAAATGAGGAAGAAGAAAGAGGCTGCCCTGATGTACTGGAGGATTTTGTCCCGCCTCAGCAGACCCACAGCAGGCAGTGCTCTCTCACCACTCTGGAATCAGCTGCTCTGAGAGGAGTGTCAGGAAATGTCAAGAAAGCCACTGCAGAGCTGTGGTGAGCGTGTTTGGTGCTTGTCGTGAGTCATACTTGTCATGAAGGCAGCAGCAGCTTCTTCCCTTAGCTCAGCTGTCAGGGCTGTGAACATCTCTACACCCTGTAAAATGGCTCTTTCTCCTGACTACAGTTTTGCTGACGCACTTGGAGAGTCCTTGAGTATGGAGAGGTTCATTGTATAAGCATGAAGACTTTTTTTTCCCCATACATTCTATCCCTACTTTGCAGTAGTGATCCTAGTACAAGGTGCTCTACTCTTTACCACTACTCCTGCCAATGCACTCACACGAGTATCACTTTTAAGAGGAGAGAAACATGCCAATGGCAGTGGCCAGGAAACTTTCTGGCTGATCTAGAGATTGGTAGAGATCTACTGGATCCTAGGGTGCTACAGCTCCAGGCAGTTATTTCTGAGGAATCCTCAGTAGGGTAATAGAAGAGGTACAGGTCAGGCTTTGAGGTCTGCTGGCACACTGCTGGAAAGCAGGCACGGAATGCTTACAATGGGAAACAATCATAGAATGGTTTGGGTTGGAAAGGACCTCAAAACTCATCCAGTACAAGCTTCCTGCCATGGGCCAGGACACCCTCCGTTAGTCCAAGTTGCTCCAACCCCATCCAACATGTCCTTGGACACTTCCAGAGATGGGGCAGCCACAGCTTCTCTGGGCAACCTGTGCCAGGACCTAATTAAAAGTGACTTGTACAATTAGGGGTCTGTACCTCATTAAAAGCCAGTGGGAAGCTTCACTTCAGTGTGAAGCTTATAAATCACATGGGTTTCCTAGGAAATGTGCCCCTGGTTTGGTCCTACCTGGCTTCAGCTGGCTGGTAGGATGGAGCTCTTTTCCCTGCACAGGTGTGATATGTGTTAAGGGAACTCTTAGGAACAATTCCAAAGCTGAAGGATGCTGTGGACAGGGAAGGCTCTTTCATGTGAGCTGAAATCTGTGGTTATCAGATGTATGAATTGTCTTTGTGGGGAAAGGAGCGCCCTACATCACTGCCATCCCTTAACTGTGCTCCCTGAACACAGGAGTGTGTTTTGTGAGGTGGGATTGGTGAAGTGCCCGTTGTTCCCAGCGTTCCCTGTGAGGGTTTGGTGATCTCCATCCTGTCTCCTCCGCAGCTGTGGAAGGGTCGGTCGGACCCCGTCCTGCACATCGAGCTCCGGCGCTGGGCTGACCTGATGGTGGTGGCACCTCTGGATGCCAACACGCTGGCAAAGGTTGCCAGTGGCATCTGTGACAACCTACTGGTGAGTAACTGGGGCTCTGCCTGCCACTCCTCTCAGCTCTCAGGACTGCCTGACCTTTCCTTCATGGAAAATTGTGCTTCTGCAGCATCATGAACAGCGAGATTTGCATGTTCTGCCTCCATCTGCTTGTCTCTCTCTTCCTCAGGATGATTCCCCTGTTCTTTCTCAAACAGTGGATCTTTCCTTCCCTGACCTACATCCCTTCCCACTCCTCAGTCTCTTCTGTTATTTCCTAGTCCCCACTTTGTGCTTTTTCTGCTTTTTCTGGGGATGGTATTTGTTTCTACCTCCACACTCTCTCTCTCATTCATAAACAGAAACACATACACACACACACACACAGAGTCACTTTGAGTTCCTCTCTGCATTTTTTTGATGTAATCTGGAAAGACACCTGTGAGATTAGATAAAACTCTTTACTTCCTGCTGCCTCATCACCTCCTCACCTAACATAGCACAGACATTCAAACATGCTCACGTTTACTTAACTTCCAGTCTCAGCTACAGAATATTCTGCTTGTTCAGGCTTGGTTTTTTTGGTATTGAAAGTGCTCTTTAGGCTCTTCAGGCAAATCAGAAAGTGTATTAAAAGAGAGTGTGCTTCTCTGTTGGGTGCTGAGAACCTTCAGTGGGGCTGACTGTTTTGTGGCCAGGCATTAACCACACAAAAGATCTCTCAGGAAGCAGCAGATCTGCATGACCAACAGCCTTTTGGGTAAGAAATGCATATAAATGAACAAAATCCACCCGGATTAGATTACTGGGGTTCTGAGAGAGGTCAGAAAGAGCTGTGGGAGGGACAAGCAATGTCTTGTCCTTCTGGATCCCCTCAGTACTATGGATCTGATGGTTTAGCAGAGGGAAGAGCTCGGGAAAGATATGAGGGATTCATGGCTTCACAGACTCTTGCCAGTCTTTTCAGGGAACCTGATGAAAGGAAGAGGTAGCTCCAGGAAAGGAAAGGAAGTGCTGGAGGTGCTGGTTGGCAGTTTAGAACAGATTACAGCAGATGTCCTTGTGGTGGGAAGGGTTCAAGTCACAGGATATAAAAAGGATGGGCATGGTTCCTATAAGGATCCTGATCCAAGGAAAGCCCTGCACCAGGGGCTGCTGCTCACTGGGAAGCTCATTTGCGTGACTTAAATGCTGCTAGGCCTGGGGAAACTGATGGGCATTGCATTAAGAACAAGCAGCATTTATCTTTTTAAGGAGATGAGGTGATACTGGGTTATCTGGAAGTGCTGCTGCCAGATAGTTTGTAATCTGCCAGCATCTGCTGCAGCAGCCCAGATGTGTTTGTGTCATCCTCTGCTTGTATCCCAGACACAGCAGTGCTTCCCTATGAGAAGTTATGGAACCAGCTGGTGGATAAGTTCGAAAAGACTCACTTGCCAACTTTCAGTGTTTATCTTTACAGCTGGCTTACCTGAAGTGTTGCCCAGGGATTTCACTGTAGCTGATAAGAGTTGTGGTCACCCTTCAACTTGTCTGTCTCCCACAAAGGCTGGCAGTGTGTGTGCATCCTGTTCCTGCTTGGTTTGCTCCAGGCTGGGCTGCTCGCTTGGCCCTGGGCCATAGCGGGATGGGATCTGTCCTCTTTGTAGCCTCCCTCATCCTTCCTGCCTGTCAGACAGTGAGCTTTGCTGGAATGTGATACAAATTAGTCTCAGCCTTGTGAGTTAGTCCACCTGCACTGACAGATAGAGGCTTTTGACCTCAAAATGACCTCCAGGCTGGGAAGGCAATTCTGTGCAGCAAAGGGATGGGAAGGAACGAGGAAATCCAACCCATTTCTTGGCTTCTCTTGTAGACTTGTGTCATCCGCGCGTGGGATCTGAGCAAACCTCTGCTCTTCTGCCCAGCCATGAACACGGCCATGTGGGAGCATCCCATCACAGCTCAGCAGGTGGAGCAACTGAAAGGCTTTGGCTACACGGAAATCCCCTGTGTAGTAAAGAAACTCGTGTGTGGAGATGAAGGTCAGTCCTTTTCTGTGGCTTCTGACCCTTTCCCTGCCCCAGTGCTGCTCTCATCCCGAAGGGGCGTGCGTCCTTTTGTTGTGTGGCCTCTGGGATGTTGAACTGCCAGGGTTTGTACAAACAAGCTGAAGCTTTCCCCTGTATTATTCCTCTTTATTAATTTTTAAGTAGTCTTAAGGGACCATCCAAGCCAGGCTTTCAGATGAGCCTGATATTGAACAGAAATGCTCGTTCAAGAAGAGAGGAGATCAGAGAGAAGGGAAGCTCTGCCATGAATGTTATCAGCCTGGGATTTGGGTGTCCTGACTTTGCCCTCTGCTGTGACTGGGGGCTGTTTTCCTCGTGCCTCAGTTCATCAGCTCTGCCATCAGGATAAAATCTTGTCCCTGAGAGCAGACAGTGAGAAGAGCCCTTTGAAGATGTGGCTGAGGGTGTAGCTGGACACACATTTAACTTTTGTGTTGTTGTTGTTGTTGCCTGGGTTACTTTTCAGCTTCCCAGTGGAGTTTTGATTTGGGGTGTTGATATCGGATTTATCTATGAAGTGAAAGAGGGGGTGGGGGAAGTTGTCATGGTCAGATTCAATAGATTTAGCTTGCAATGCTAAGAAATAGTACTAAAATGGTCTCATTTACATTTTAGGAGCTGCTTTAAATGGAGGTATTTTGACTTTTGGGAGTGGTTTTGATACAAACCATTTGGATGAATGGATTTGGGTTTTTTGTTAAAATTTTATTGGACAAATTGTCTGTAAAATGTCCCCCAATTCCAGCCATAATAGCAAAATAGCAAACATGCTATTAACTGCACAGTAGAATGCTCCTACTTTTGTGTAAAAACCCCAACTCCAGCAGGATTTTAACCACCCTTTCAGTTCAATAAACAGTCTGTACCTAAGCCAGCATGTTATAGTGTCTGTCCTTCAGGGTCAAATTCCAAGGCTGGCTTAATTTTTGAATCCTTAGGTAGCTGCAGTGCCTCTAGAGATTGTATTTTTTGATCTGAAGACTAGGAAATATTTACAATTAAGTAAGTGTAGTCAAGTAACTCAGGCATCAGTTGAAATATCCTGGCTGATTATCCTTCCACTGGGATTTTAGACGTGATTACATCAAATTTCTTCATATCCAGCTCAGCTGTCTCTGCTGTGAGAGCAAACTCCTGAAGGAGCTTGGAGGAGAGGGATGGCACAGACAGCTGTGCTAGGAGCAGCCACCTCTGACTCAACTCCACTTGTGTTTGTGAGTCAATTCACAACAAGATCTTCCTGTTGGCAACACCAGGATTTTCCTGGCAGTTTGTAAGAAAATTATGGCAGAGCAGTAATGGATTCCATCTCTCTGAATACCCAGTACTCCACCACTGACTTTTTCACCTCTTCCCCTCTTTTTTCAGGCCTTTCACCCCACAGCCTCTTCCACTCTCATTTTGGTTTTGTGGGTTCCATCCACACAGGGGTTTGCCTGGGTTCCACCCAAAAAGCATGTAGCAACACTCACACATCTGGTGCAGAAGAGATTCAGTTTGCACCAGTTTTGTCTGTTGACATTGTGGTTTGTTTTGCTCTAAAAGAGGTTTCTCTTCCTCAACCCATGTGGTTGGTCTCACCTGAAATGTGCTCGGATCCTCACTATCACCAAGTTTCTGCTTTACAAGCTTTACCTGATTAATTTTTCTCCCTTAGTAAATGGGCGGTTTTAGACAGAAAGTTCAGGTCAGAGAGAGTTAAACTAAATTAAATTGAGTTCCTTGTTTGGATAGTTTCCATACTGACAGTATCATCATCATCCTTGGCTGGATTTCTCACGCCGGGCACACTGGAAGATTTCTACCTGTAGGCATAAGCTGTGCTGTAAGATGGGCTGCTTAGCAAGATTTTGCTTTGCTAAACCTAGAAATCCAGATGTGAATTGCCAGAGATGTTGGAGAAGTGGGTGGTGGAGGAAGAAGGCAGGCCTTGGAAGTGTTCTGGAAGGGTGTAGCTCTGCCAAACCGTGCAGAGACAGTCAGGGAATGTCTCTTGTTCAGCAGCACCTTTCAGATGCAGCTTCTCAAGGTTAGGAGAGCAGAAGGGCCCAAATCTGCATGCAGCTCATCCACAGGATGCTCCAGACCTTCTGGGATTTACAGGTCTGAAAAAGAGGAAACCTCCCAGAACTAATTTCTGCTGAGCAATAAGGCTTGTATTTTAAATTATGAGAGCTATTAGCCAGCAGGACAAAAACTCAGTAGAGACTCCTTTTCAGTCTTCCAGAGGAGACAAATGCCTATGGGAAAAGCATCTTTCCTCAGCTCCAAGCAAATAACAGAAGTGAATGGCCTGAGTTCCCACTGCTGAGTTCAGCACATGAGGTTGGACAAGATGATTTAATCATCTCTGGGCTTAAAATTCTGAACCTGAGTTGAAAAATTATTTCAGAGGGAAGCAGCAGCACAGAGTAGATTAGATGTTCATCTGGCAACTAACTAGTCTGAAAGGAAAAGCTTTCCTTTTTGTTCTGTCCAGCACTTAGCCTTCTCCAAGAGTTACTCCCACGATTCAGGCTGGTGGGAATCTAGGACTGCTTTCTGTACTGTGGGTCTCACTGCAGAGTCATGGGAACACCAAGTCTTTTGTATAGGCAAAGATCATTTTAAAAACATACTGAAATCACACAGTGTTTATGCTGGAGAAAAGAGGTGAAATTGGGAATTCTGGTCCACACACACTTTTTCGGGACAGTTTTGCACACTTTCCCCCACCCTGGGTTTCACAATGTGGTTTTGCTCTTACCCTGCAGGCCGAGGTGCCATGGCAGAAGTGTGGACCATCCTGGAGAGAGTTAAAAGGATCCTTGAAGAACTGGATGTGCCAAGGCAGAGCTGATGTTTTGGCATGTAGATGGTGTTTTTGTGCCTTTCTGATGGTTTAGAGATAAACCCAGCAGGAAGCCAAGCTGCCTGTGGGTGCCCCTGGTATGCATACCTATAGCTGCTCTTCAACAGAAGGAGCCAACCGTTGTCTTGCAGCTGGTGCCAAACAGTTGGTACATCACTGCAGACTTTTGAAAACCAAAGCCAAGAATGTGCTGCCTTAGGGTGAAAAACCCTGTACTATCTTGCAGACAGGGACTAACATTCCTGAGGCTGCTCAGCACCCAGTATTTCACAGCGTGCTCTCTTCCCAGGAGGCTGCAGAAGGTTTTTCAGCTCCAGTCGTTTCCCCAAGGACTTCTAGAGAGGAGGATGCTGTGCAAACTCTGGTGATGGGGATAACACCAGCTCCTTCCAGCATGTGTGTTTGGACCATCCCTGCTCTCCGAAGCTCGGTGTGTAGCTGTGCTGGCTGCATGTTCCCAGCAGGAGTCACTGTCCAAAAAGCATTTTCCCTCTGGGAACTTAATAAAAAAGAGTTTTTAATCCTGCCTCTGATGAATTGCCTCTTGTAGCTGCTCTGGAAGGTGTTCGAACCTAACATCTTTGCTAAGTTGTTGTGTCTGCTTGTGTTTTTTTATCAGATGTGGAGAAAAATTGACTGAAAGGAGCGCTCTAACCCCCAAATTAGCCTTTGCCCTTTTGTAACTGTTGGCTGTTCCAAAATTCCACCTGCCCACCCGGGTTCTCCAGTTAGGAAATTAAGAGGCCAGGGTGCATGTTTCCCAAAGAAATGAAGTGACACTTCACCTATGATGATCCTTTTCTGTTTGAAAGTTAACTGTCAGGCATGAATAAACTGGGAAATCCTGTGCCCTCATGGGCCAGACCAGGGCTCCCCCAGTCCAGTCCAGCCTTTCCTTGGGAATGTGATCTTGCTCACGGGGGAATGGAAGCAAACTGGGGTTGTGAAACATGCTGCTGTAGCAGAGCACTGCTGACCAACAGAGGTTTTTAACTAAACCCAGACAAATTTAAGGCCTTTGGTACAGCACGTGCATCTTGCCTGTGGGGGAACCTCCAGCCTGCTGCACACGAGGGAGGAAGTTAACAGGTTAGGTTTGCTTGCCTTGTCAATCCCACACAAGTAAAAACCTCTGAAGTTTCCCTGTTTTGACTCTTCCACTGACAGAGATCCAGGGAGTCAAAGCTTTTGAGAAGGATCCTGGTGTGAGCAGAGCATGTGGCTACTGTGGTTGTGAACTTTGCATTTTGCCAGGATTTATGGTGTGACCTCCTGCATCATTTGCTCGTGTTCTTACATGATGAAGCTCTCAGCCTCTCAGAGGATCTTACTTTAAGCTTATTGAAGGCAGTAATAGAGATGCTGTTGGATTTCCATGAGTTTTGATGGTGAATGTTGTTTCTACTTACAGGGAAATGTGTATTCTGGCAGTTACAATTGCCACTTGCCCTGGGGCTCTGCCATGGACATCTCCTGTGGTCAGAGTTGCTTACCTTCCTTCTGGTGCCTGACTTGGCAGCCCAGAAAATCCAACAGTGAGATTCCTCATACCAGGACAAAAGACCATGTCCCTGGTAGGAACCTTCATCTCTTCCAAGCCTGGTTTGCTGGCTTAAGCTGCTCCATAAAGTTGACAAATGAACCTCTGCCTAATTGCTGTTATTTTGAATTGGAAGCAAATCATGATAGCATTCCAGGCTGGGATAAACCTGTGCCCAAACCACCTTTTCTTCAGGGTAGGTAGAAGAAACAGTTAAGTTGAGTTCCTTTTGGGAGGCAGGAGCAGCTTCCAGCCTGGCACAGGCACTCCCCACCCACGGCCGGGGAGGTGCTGGCAGCCTGCAGGCAGGAGCTGCTCCCTGTGGAAAAGGAGAAGGAGTAGAAGCTGGAGGAAGCCCTGTGTGCTGTCACATGAGGCTTTAGGAGGGGACTTTGGGACAGTGCTTTTCTAGAATGAGGCTTGGGACAATGAGTGAAGGACTTGATTCCAAACCAGGGCTTTGTGCTGGCTCAGGCAATAGGTACAGAGTCTCCTTAGCCACTGAACTCACCAAGAGTTGTCCAGGGATGGATCCCTCAGGGCATTCAAGCTTCCAACTCCATCCCTCAGAGCTATGTGTGTGTCTTGACTTCACAGGGGAGGCTCAAGACACTCCCCATGAGCTTTTTCTTTTCCTTCAGCTCTTATTTTTAAGCTGCACACTGATTTTTTTGTTTCACTTTCCCATAAAAACTCTCGGATGACTGAGGCAGCATCCCCAGGAATCCTGCTGGGTTGCAATTTCATTCATCCTGCTTAAAACTGTTTCTCTCAGCATGGCTTGGGAGTGATAGAGAGTCAAAGCTCAGCTAAGGCAGCAGCCCTCCTTTCCTGAGCTCGGATGTGACTCTCAGCATCCATGTCTCCGGTTGCTTCCCCCATCCCAAACTCAATGAGACCCCTTTGCCGCTTGGATCTGGGGGGCATCCGAGGAGGATGGAGGTGCCGTGGCGCTGCTTTGGTCTGGCTTTGATCAGGAGTTGGCTCCCCAGCTGTGACTCGTGATGGGAATTCCATCCTCCCACATGCCTTGTCCCCATCCCACGCCTCCATCCTGGGAGCCTGCAGCAGGGAAAAGAAAAAAACCCAACTCTTAAAAGAAGTGATAAAACCTCCCGATGTTCAGACTCGTGGCGGTCGTGCCCGTGTGATGCACCTGGAGCAGCCACTTTGCACCTCACGGCACTCCGGATTTGGCACCTGCCCCCCGATGCCGCCTCCTCCGGATCCCCGAGAGCACGTGAGGGGGCAGGAAGCAGGTTCTGCTCCCCGACCACGGCGGGGCTGGCTGCTGGAAGAGCCGGTGGCTGCCACAGGGGTGACAAACTGGTGGTGGCGAGTGAGACCTGGCGGCGTTCGCACAGGTTTTCTTCCCTTCCTTGCTCGGGTAGGATTCAAAACAACGCCCTGAGATGTGCATCTTCCTCCTGTAAGGTTACAGTGACGGGCAGGTGGTTGTTTTTTTTTTGTAGAAAAGGGAGATGATCCAAAGGGATTGCCTCTTGTAACTGCTCTGGAAGGTGTTCGCACCTAACATCTTTGCTAAGTTGTTGTGTCTGCTTGTGTTTTTTTAATCAGATATGGAGAAAAAATTGACTGAAAGAAGCTCTCTAACCCCCAAATTAGCCGTTGCCCTTTTGTAACCGTTGGCTGTTCCAAAATTCCACCTGCCCACCCAGGTTCTCCAGTTAGGAAATTACCAGGCCAGGCCTCTGCCCTCATGATTTTTCTTTCAGTGTGCTTAATGTTTTTGCCTCACCAGCGCTCCTGGCTTGGGAGATGCTTGAAAGCAGCTGAATCGCCCTGACTGGTGATAAGGACAGTGCCAAAAGACACGGCATGGCTTGGCACAGACTCCTTGGCACCAGTGACACCGATAGCTTGGTTTTGGCAGGACAACCTTGCAATTAAAACTTCTCGGTGCAGTGTTCCTGCTCTGGTCAGCAGCCTCGGTGGGTGCTTGAAAAATTGTTTCCAGGAGTAATTGAGCTTAATTAGAAGCTTGAATTCCCTGGAGCTGGGATGCTCAGAGGTGCACAGCAGAGAGAAATAATCCAACGGGGCAGTTCCCTGCTAGGTCTTAACCTGTTGTTTGGGGTTTTACTCCTGGAATTTCAACATGGAATTTAGATGGAGGCTGGAATTTTTCTCTGGGAGTCCTGCATTTGGTGTTGTACCTTGCTTTTCTGACTCTCTGGGGGAAACAGAGGATAAAGGGGATGGAATGAGCACAAAAAAACACTCTGAGATGAGGAATAAAGGTGACTTTTGGTCATCACAATGAAGATAAAATTAATCTGCTCCTGACCACAGGCTCCTGGGCTCCCTGGAGGGAGTGCAGAGAGATGGGCTCTGCATGGAGACTCCTAAAATCAGGCTCCAACAAATGGGATTGCAAACACCTCAGACTGAAAGCCGGGAGAGCCTGGCATGATCCCAGCTCTTGCTCCCATGGCACTCAGCCTCCAGAAAGCCTTTGATGTCCAGTGCCAGCTGCCATGAGCACCCCAGAGACCCTTCATCCCCCTGACCCCAGCCCTGCCAACAGCAGGGGTATCCAGGAAATCCCCCCACGTCCAGCACCACTGGCACAGCGGGTGATCATGCAAGGACAGGCAGTTGTGCCACCCCGGCTTCCCACTGCCAAAACAAACTGCTGGGGTGCCAGCACAGCGATAAAAGCTTTACAAAAGGGGTTTATTCCTGCCTGGCTCCTTGGATGGCTAGAAGAGCCTTTTCCCAGGAGTGCCGTGCCCCCAGAGCGGCCTGAACTTCTGTGGCTGGCTCTGCTCTCTGTCTCACTTGATTTACATGGGGCACGGGGGTGGTTTATAGTTTTGGAGAAGTATGATTCACAAACTCCAGCATGATAAGGATGAGGGGAAAAAGATAAGACACGTCAACCTGAAGGAATGCAGCCAGTAGAGAGCCCAGCCTGTGGCTGGCAAAAGCCCTGGAAGAGGGGATCTGGTGTAAAAAGGGACAAAATGGGAACATGTGCCTGAAAAAACAGCTGAAAGCCTCCCATCCCTGCTACAGGCAAGCACAGCTTACTTCACCTGGGCTCTCGTCCCACAAATCCACTGCAGCTCTGAGGCCATGGGATAGCTCCAGGTAAACTCCCTGGACATGGGTCAGCCAAACTTCCTAACTGGGAGTAATTTAAAAGCCGAGATGTTGTGTTTGTGCAGGTCTGACTGTGCTTCCAGGGCTGCAGCTGCCCTCCAGACCACTGCTCCGCTTCCCTGAGGATAAGGAACCAGCGTGGCTCCCAGAGCCATCCCAGCCATCCCAAATTCAGCTCTTGCATGAGTGGCAGGCGAGGAAGGCATTGTCCCTTTGTCCCTTCCCTCTGCCGGGCAGCACCATGTGCCTGCCAGGCATGTGGCTGGGGAAGCCTCTGCCTTGCCAGGCTTTCCTTTGCCAGTGGGGTAGTGGGGGAAGCCCTGACCTGGTTCCTGCTGCCCCCACACGCATCAACCCCCCCCCACAAACAAATCTCGACCCGGCAAACACGGCCCCTTTATAAAGGCAGCAAATTTTGGCTGCAAGAACACGGCTGATTGGAGCACAGCCCGCTCTGGGGTGCCAAGGCACAGGCAGACCTCTGCCCCTTGCTTTGCTCTGGAATACCCCTCCTGAGGTCAGGGAGCTCCTGCTTTTGCAGCTTCTCCAGGAAACCTGCATCCTGCATACCCTCAGAGCAAGTTTGCTCTAAGGTGCTCTGGGTGGATGTTATTTACAGCAGCATTTTTTCATCGATAGGAAATAGCTCTTGGTGAGGGCAAAAGCTCCTGATGTGTGGACAGGATGCAGCTGAAGCACCCAAGCACTTCCAGCCTATGAACCTTGCCAATTGCTTCAGCAGAAAGTCAATATTGACCCTCCGTCAGCACTTGCACGCATAGACACTCCTGTTACTGTTGCAAATAGTCTGATAAATAATTAAGATTTCATTGTATAGAAGAAGAAGTGATAAAATAATCAAGATTT